GCCGATGGTGAACATGGCCACCACGAGCGTCCGGTCGCACGAGGCGTAGGAGGCGGCGATGATGAAGACGCCCGGGCCGATGGAGGCGATCGTCGTGCCGATTTTCCGCACGTTGGTGCGCGATATTACGCCTCGCGTGATGATCCAATCGGCCAGCCAGGAGGACGCTAAGCTGCAGAACCACATGACGAGGTAAGGCAGCGCCGACACGAGAGCGTTGTCCTTAATGGGGTACTGGAGCACGCTGCTCATGTATTTAGGCAGATCGGTGACCATCGTGAAGAAGCCCCAATCGTGGCCGATTTGGGCGGCGATGAGCGCCCAGAGCGGCACCGAGCGCAGCATGTGTCGCCAGGGTATCGGCGGCGGTTTCGTGTGAGTGTGCTCGTTCATGCGCTCGTGCAGATACTTGACCTCGCGCTCGGAGATGAACGGGTGCTCGTACGGATTGTTGTAGCAAATTAGCACCCACACGACGAACCACAGCACGCCGATGCCGCCGAACACGTAGAAGACCGCGGGCCAGCTGTAGGAGTGCAGGATCAAGCCGGACGCCAGATTGGCGATCACTGTGCCGAGCTGGGCGCCGGCGAACACCATCGAGCCGATCAATGATCTCTCCTCGGGCGGGGTCCATTGCGCCAGCATGGCGTTCAGCGCCGGGAAGGTCGTGCCCTCGCCGAGACCCATGAGGATACGCAGCACTATCAGGCCGACCCAGTCGCCCCATTCAACCACCAGCGGCGTCAGCAGCGTGAATATCGCGGTCGACAGGATGCCGAGGCCAACGGAGTACTTGCCGCCGAACTTCTCCGCCAATATCCCGCCCGGCAGATGTGTGAGGACGTAGCCCCAGTAGAAGGATGAGAGAATGAGGCCCTGGAGCGAGACAAAGATGAGAATACAAAACCGAATATAAATAGCCATAAAGATAAAGCGTCGAAACTATTGTTTACATGTTCTAGAAATATTTTTCTAAGAGAATACGAGGATGGAATAATGTATACGTAAGAAAAAAAAAGGAAAGAGAATATGGAAGAGTGAAACACATACAGGAGGAAAGAGAAATGCGAGAAATTGGTAAAAGGATAAAAGTAGTTGCAAAGATAAAATATTAAAGTAAAGAAAAGTGTGACAAAGTATGACGCTTGAAAAACGGCTTCTACGCATACTTGTGTGCGTTCGTCCCAATCGTAGCGTCCTGTTTCTTTGGAATCTCCAGTGTTATTGGAATCTCCAGTTTTATTCCTGAAGCCACAAGTATCGTCCTCAAAATTGTGCTTTATAGGATGCGCCATCTCCGTGATGGTAATCGATAGACAGATTCTCATAGTGTAGGCGTTCAGGAGCGCAAGAAATCCCATGATAGCGAACACCCATCGTTGTGGCAGCCGACCACCTGTAATCGGTCAAATTTTGTAAGCTCTGCATTATTAATCGCGTCACTCGAGAAGTTTAATCGATCAGTGATTCATTTTATCGCGGTGATGTTGATTACAATAATTTAAAAATAATGAAAAGTGTTGCAAATATTTCTTATTGCGTTTAAAAAAATATTTTAATAAATGAGAGATATAAATAAGATAATTAGGAAACAATGCAATTTATGGTAGAAAATCCTCAGAGAGAAATTGCGAGTTAATTTATTTGCTCAAACGGAAGTTGTTCGCGCGTTTTTTTGCGCGGGGATTCACTTTTTGCTGGCCTTGGATCGCATTTTGTCTCGGCTGTGTAGATTTTATTATCTATGTATTTTTCCTTTAGTGATTCCTTTGTCTATAAATTGTTCGCGCGAGGAAGTTTTTGCATGACTTCACTTTCACTGCGTTCTGCCGGTCATTTTGACTCACGCGCGCTAACGGTTCGCCACTCGCAAAACCAGCTTATATTTAACGGGAAATATAAGATACATTAGATTTTAATAAAAATATACGTTGGAAAAAAATACCTCTTATTCTAATGACAAAAATAATAATTTTCTGTTTCCGATTGTACGAGAGAATGGAAGGCCTGTCCTCGCGACAGATGGATGTCCGTTCAGTCTTGCGCAGCAGCTTCCTTCCCCGTCTTGGTGAATGAACCTTCGGCCGCACGTTTTCTATTCCGCGGCTGTTCGCACTGCGATCACGTACGCGCGTACGTACGTGCCCTGACATATATATTTCGCTGGAAAATGTCCCGTATTCCTGATGAGAGAGAATGTACCTGTACGATTCGATCGCGCGGGAGAAAGAAGAGCGATCGCGTTCGGCCACACATTTGGACGACATTTGGCCTTCTGTTTCTTCGAGGAATTCACGTTCAGGGTTGCAGGTGGCCTCCCCTGCCAGCTACGACAAGACGGATGTCTTCACCTGGCCTTTACCTACATAGCGACGACAACTCGACATCACCCAGTTAGCAATCCCATCGGTAATCCATCCTCGTAATCGCAGTCTCGAACTTTCCTCGCCCGCACCTTCGACAATAAACCGACGGTCTCGAGAGTGCGCATGTATGCAACGGCACACGCGTGAAAATTTTTTCCTGAATCCCGTTAACCGCTATTTGTTTTCGTGAAGAATGCTTGACGCGCGAAATTGCCGAAGTAAAAATGAGACCAAAGGATTAGCCGCTCGTCTCAGCGCATTTTTATTGACGCACATATATGTAAAACAGTCTAAAACATTTGTTGAACACGTTTATGTGCTTCTTTGAAAGATTTATTAATTGATCCGTTCAGCAATTGCAGCGATTATCAGCGATTACTGAGTAATAGAAAATTAATGTTATCAGCGATTTTATTGATTTTCAGATTATTACAGATAAGAAGGTTGCAACATTTATTTTTCAGAAAAGATAGATTTAAGATTTTTTAAATTGAGTTGTAAAATGATTGCAAAGTTTTGTGAAATTCTTCTGTTGAACATTTCAAGTTTATTTAAGCGATTCCTCGAAACGATTTCTTCAAACGTAATCCGCTTATTATTATTAAATAAGCGTGAATTCTGAGTATTCGTGCCTGGTCCCGTTTCGTCATTAATCTCGCGACGAGCTTTGGTCCCACGCTGAATTATCCTTGTGGAGAGCCGCAAACTGGGAAAACCGCGCGAACATCCTCTCGATCTCGCGAGTTTAGAAATGTCGTAACTCTTGCGTGTCTTGTGAAAAGCATGTGGCGTGATCGATAATTATTATGCACATAGTTTTCGAGAAAGAGAGATAAAAGTTTTGGAAACAGGAAAACTTCTTACGAGGAAGTTCGCCTTCACCTAAAAAACAGCGCGGCTAATCGATCCGCGAGTGAAGTCATCTCGCGTTAGAAGTATCGCACGATAATTGTATCGCCAAAAGATAGCGCATTTCTGTTTGTTTCACATTACAAAATGACGTTAAAACATTCGTCGATGTTGAACATTTATGTAATTTCGACTTTTCCACAGCGCGCTTTGGCAACGGCACGCGTGTGGCGCAATTCGTCTATCGGAGATACCGCAATTGGTACGTTCTCACACGCACGTCTCGTAATACTTCCTCTTCTCGTCGGATGTCCCGTTGTTCCTTTTTCAATATTCTTTCCGCGTGCGATCGCGCGAACGTTGACGAGTGAAGGGAAAAGGCGAATGAGAAAGTTCGATAGAAAGGGTTTCGACCGATATCGCTGTCAGTGTGTAAATATTCGAAATTAAATGAACTATTTTTATTCCTCCCACAGTTTTATGACCGATAACAGATCGATTGCGCGGTCCTCATAAGAAGGAAAAAATACAAAAATTGTGAGCGATAAATCGATGACAGCGACAATCGGATTCCAACACAATCTGCTACAGTATGCTGAAGTAATTGTGATGACAACAAAGTTCGTTGAGTGCAGCAGATAAGCGATACTTTTTCGTTGAACATCAATCGATTTCCGGGAATTAGCGCGAATTCTCGTCGTATTTCAAGCGAACGCCATCGGAATGAAGAGGCGGCTAGAATTAATTGTTATCGTCGAATCTGATTTATCTGCGCGATATCAATTACTGGTGCTCTCTCTCTCTCTTGCTCAAATTAATAAAAAATTATTCGCAACAACAATATGATTTACAACAGTATAATCGCAAGGGCTCTAGACAATCTGTGGTGCAACATCATGATTTGCGAAAACGCGCAAATCCGCGGGATTGTCGCATTTATAGAAGTCGCAAAATAGAGTTGTCAGACGCGCGAAATTGTATTTGACGAAAGCTTCAATGGCACGCGATTGTATAAATCAGTCGGAATCACTTTAGTTTCTGCGCTGCAATTTGTACGAATTTCGAAAAGCGATTAGTTTTTATCTCGGCGTCTTCCCCGTCGTAATAATATGACATTATTAATTTATTATTATAGATTAGCTTCGTCGGAAGCGCGTGTGAGATGATAACGCGTCGGCGTTACATAGTCGCGAGAACATTTCATCGACAGGCTATCGAAAACGCGCCGTCAGTTTTCCAGATGCGAATCCATTTCGCACGCCGAATATTTCTAATTGGTACGCGCGCTTATCTTCTGTTTACCTATTAATGAAGCGTCGATATAAAATTTCACGATAAAACGCGCCCCACAAAGATATAACGAACGCGTCGCAACTTAATTGGTCCGATTATTTAATTCACACATGACGTAAAACATCGACAACTGGGTACGAAAAAAAAATAAACGCGTGTCCGGCGTGCGAATTTGATTTACATTCGTGTTGAGTTCGCGATCCAAGTCGAAAATCCAGGCCGATAACTTCTGCGCGTCAGGATCGCAATTAGGAATAATTGCTGCGTAACCATCTTAAAAGTCGGGCAGATAAGTCGAGCAAATAAAAAACACTGTCGAATGTAAAAATAAATGTCGCTGCTCGATTTTGTACGTCGTTATTCTCTAATCTTTTTTTCTTTACACGTAGCGCTTGGACTTTATACGGCGTGCTTCTACGAAAGTAATCGATGATCAGGTTTGGCGGAAAAAAAAAAAAAAACAAAGCCGAATGCTTTTAAGAACAATATCTTTAAGAATAATTGTCTCTTCCATAAATTTGCAAAAATCCCGGAACGCGTTCGAACTTTGCGACGCAGCTCGCGCCGTGTAATTCGCGTGCATGCATTGACGTATGAAGTTTGAGCAAACATATAAGCATAGCAAAAAAGAGTGTGCCTAAATAAAAGGGGAGACTTGCATCAATCGATTGACTGACACCGAGATAAACGTATTCAACATAAAAAATGGGTCTCGCGTTTCCATTTACTTGTCTTCCGAGAAAAAAAAAAAAACTGCGCCTGATCTTATTTAGAGCCTGGAGAACACTTAGAGCCTCAGTAAACATAGAAGCGCGCGATAAATGCACGAGCTATGCAGAGAAATGCGACTTCACGATTGCTTAAGCAGCGGCAGCGTTAAATTTATCGATCAGATCATTTTTGCTGTCACTATTAATTTACAATCTTGTTGATCTTTCGCATTTTATCGCGCCCTGTGAAGTGGGTATTTATTGTAATCTAATGTGACTAATCGATACGGGAGTCATGCACCCGCGATAGAACGCAAGTAAAACGCAGTATGCGCTCGGAAATTTTGGTCGAGCGGTTCAGATCTCGAGACGAAACGTCGAATAGTTCGGAATTGGCAGCAAATTTGAATGATCACAACAGTGCATAACACGAATTCGCAATTGGCACGAATGAGATAAGTCTGCGTTAGACATTCAGTATGCAAAGTGTTAACAATGTTGGCAGATTGGCTGCAAATTTGATGAGAAGTCGCTACCTTTGGACGACTGCGTTTCGCTGCATTACTAAATATCTAATGTTCACTTATCTTATTTGTACTCGTTGCGAATTCATATTATGCCGTTTGTAGATATCTATTCAATGCCATGCATTTTAAATGCTTTCCTGCGCACATTATATTCCACTTTGTTCAGGAAACACACGTTAAAATAATTCAATTTTTCTATTAAACATTTTAGAAATGCGTCGCGCGAAAATGTCAACGTGAAAGACTATTTTCTGTCTGCGGCGCGTATTATTTTTGCTCAATATTGAAGTTCGAATAATGTTCGAACTTTTAGGACTTAGAAATTAACATTACAGATCGATCATTGCTCGTATTCAAACTCGAAACACAAATGTTTTTGCTTACATATAATGTGTTCGAATTCTTTGTCTGATTTTTGCTCTTTTTTTTCAGGCGATTGACTGTTTTTCCGACTGGAACCTTCGATTCGAAGCGTGAAGGCGGCTTAACGAAGATTGCAAGATAAATCATGGAATGATATCGGCCTTGTTACGATCGGATCACCGGCATTATTAACTAATAAGCTGAAGTTTCACGGTGTGCAATGTAGCGTGATAAGCGCTAAATAACTCGCCATATCACCGCGATTAACACGCTGGTAATCATATATAGACAATAGAATTCTGGTCTTGTTAGGAATACTGATCGTCTACTGTCAGGCGATATCTTATCTCTCAAGAGAGAGAGATACGCGGGATGTTCAGGCTCGAAAATTCGCCCACTCACTGATATAACGCTCCCTAGTTCTTCTGTAATTTCCCAACCGCTTCGATATTGAATTGATGAAGAAAATGATAACAAGTATGTCGCGTTTCGAGTGCGGTGCAGCGAATCGACATGCGCTCGTAACTTAATTTCTGTAATTAATTCCGTGATTCACGACTATTTTCGACGAATGACGGTGATTGTGTCCGCAGATAAATGCAGGCTAGCAAGCGATCGAGCAAACACAACAAGACAGCATAGCTTGCAATGAAATTTACGTGATTAAGAGAGTGCACTCGCGATGTACCGCGGCAGTGAGATCATCGGCATTTACATAGGTGATCGATCGCACAATGTTTCCTTGAAAGAGAAGGAAAACCGAAGAGATTAATTTATCAAAGTTATGATAATTTGTAACGACTTTTTCTCAGATAAAATGAGAAATTTTTGGAAATTGAAATAAAAAAAATTTACAGCCGTTCTCGCGAGAGATGCAAAGAAGTGTATGATTCAAAAATTAATTGCACACTTTTTGAAATTAATCATGCGATTAATTACGCGATGCAGATGTCAAGTTACGTTGAAGTATCCGGCAAACGTCGGGCATCGATAAGAGAGTATATGTTCCGAATTAAGATATAATTAAGATAGATGTAATAATCTTTAATTCTTGATTAATCCTCTGCAAAGTATATCTTATTGAAAATGTAAACCGTGTTCAATTCAGCGCACGTGCAAAATTTCTCAACAGCCACAGTTGTCAATAGCTTGGATTTTAGGACACAGCGGCCTTCTTAAGCGAACGCTTCATGCGTGAAATCTATTTTCCGCACAAATGTGTAACTACTTATGACTATTCTTCTTTAATATATGCGAGAGATGTGGATATTTCGCGATCGTGCTTCGGTTACGGAAAGATTCGCGACGGACGCGCGGCGAGGACGAATCGCGAATGTGCGATAAAATGAACGTTTGCCTATCGGGCTTTATCGAGCTCACTATGCAGAAATGTGAAAGAAAAAGTGACCTTAACCGAGAGAGACATGACACAAGCTCGAATTGCCGGAAGCCGAGGGTCACGCGAGCATCCAAGGTTCGCGAGAGAGAGAGAGAGAAAGAGAGCGGAAGAGATAATAATTTAGATTCGATCTGCAGATTTTCTAATTCAGCGAATTTGCGCGTCCGAGCGAAAGGCGGACCGATCGATTCCGTCACGGTCTCGTTTCAGTTTAAAGAAAGAGATGAGCTATTGACGATCTACGCACGACTATTGCGTGAATGTCAGGAAGTGTCATGCAAATGAACGAGTTGCAATTAATGTCAAGGCATCCTGCCGCCGTCGCGGTCAGGCGAAAGTTAATCGCTTCATGACGGCTACTTTAACAAATTAAGATTTCTAATAATTGAATGATTCTCACGATGGGATAGAGATTTTGCTATCTAAGCGGCGGCGGCTGCATCTTTGACAAGTAAAAGCGTTCGATGGGGTTTGAAACGAGCTGATTAAAATTATTGCACTTTCCATTCACAAAGCATGAACTTTTTAAGAAAGTGTTAAGATATTGGAGATCACAAAAGTATATCAATTTCGTCTACATTTGCATCAATGATATAATTTCGTACAAATCACAGAGCACAAAAACTGTAAGAACACTTTTCCTCAGTAAAACATTGTGAAGATCGCAGAGAACGCTCGCTATCGTAATGCTCGCATTTTTTGAGACTATAAATAATATATTTCTATTAAAAAGCGATTGACACTTGTTGGATATACGATAAGAAGTTTATTGCTTATCTATGCGAAATGATTTTCTTTTATCATGTTACACTTCGTCTTTTTGCCGTGTTATACTTGTCTTCTGTGACTCTGTTGTACTTGAGTCACTTATAAGAATTATATTAAGTATGTTTTTCTGTTTTTTTTTTTTTTTAGTCTGCGAGGGAAATACCTTTTCTGTGATGATAATGATCTTCCCGATAAAGCGTGTATTTTCCATACAAATGCGCGCTGCATAATAATGCGAAATCTAATCGATTGTAATCGTATTACAGCCGTGTCACCCACTTGAGAGATTACAGAACGATCGGCGATGTCCAGTCGATTTTTTTGCGTTCTAGATATCGGCATTGTGCGATTTTATGCCGCGGAAACGCATAAGTATGCTTTTTTTTATGACAAATCCGGTTCGATGGTATGCGACAGCCAGTATTACGAAGACAAATGTGCGCGCGGATGTCGTAACAAAGATTTGATCACGATCGATGAAATCAATTAATCGGTAAATCGCTCGGAACCCGCGGCGATGAATTAAAAATCGATCAGACGTGTGTGTTTATTCGCGGATGAACGCGGATAAGGGACACGCGAGCGATTTATTTTTTTTTTAACTAGCAATAAATACGCGTGAGATACATCGTACTTACAGCATGCTTTCCACGTAGAGAGCATCCTTGAAGACTTATTAGAACCGTGTCGCTGACGATAATTTTTTTTTTTCGGGTATTTCGCTAAAACACAAGAGTGTCCGCGCACTTCTCCCTTCTCGGTCGAGGCTACTCTGCCGCCCTCCGGCGATTTCCGGACACAGAAATCACTGCCAGGATTTGAAGCGACGAGCCTCGTTCTCGACGAATCACACACACGTGTCGCGAGCGACTGAATCCGGCACCCTCGATAAGTACGCCTTATATCTGCTCGTCGCGCATTATTCAGGGTGGGGAATGAGAGAGGAACGCAGGTAAGAGTGGTAAGCGGCGATAAGCTCGGACGCGGAATCGGCGCTCGTGTTTTTTTTTAGAAAAATACTGGAGCGATCGGCGGTTCTTCGGTTTTTCTGATAACCCCGGAATTTCGCGTCGACATGCGATGATGACGGTGACGAAAGGCTGGCTGGGAAGACGAAATTCTTTGATTTTTCGCGAAAGGGAACGAGGAAACGTTTTGCGGCTCGTTCGAAACGAGTGCGTTTCGCGTGACGTATTTCTCCCACCGATTTTCGCGCAACCGGAAAGTTCCCATGCTCGCAATTATCAAATAATGGGAATGACGGAGCGTCTACAAAGCGTATCTGTTTCAGATTTATGCACGGCTGATCTCAAAGCTGAAGAAATTTCTCGGAAGAACTCATCCTTTTCCTTGAACGCGAGGAAAGTTCCGCGAGGAAATTATCAAAAGTGGATGACGAAGTGTTTTGAGATACAACACGTATTTTGTGGCCGGTGAAGTTAGAGCTGAGAAAACCGATCGAAGGAAACTAAAAGATTCGTCTCGTTTCTAGGGGAATGCAAAAGTCTCGAAGAGTGCAAAATGGCAATCAGAAGCAGAAACAATCAAGTGTTTGAAGATACAACACGTGTCGGTTAATGCGGCGGTTATTAAAATTTAAGAAATTGCTCGAAGGGTATTGAAAAATCCATCCATATTTCTCAAAGAAGCTTTCTGGTCGATTTTTCGATCGATTTTGCAGAGCATTTGCGAGTGTAATACATGTGTTATCGACTTCTACTTGTCGTGTGCTTGAAACGAGACATTCAACTCAAGTGGGACGCTTCACCTTCGGGATGGAAGTTTATTCGTCCTTTGCAATTATCAATCTATCGAATTTTTTTCACGTACGCTTCCATGGCGGACGCCGATATCTCCGCGCTTAGATCTTCGCGTGCACGCGTAAAGATTTATATGATTTTATATGCCTGTCAGGCGTCCGATATCATTCGCGATATCGATGTTAATTATCTCGTTTCAAGCATGCTGCAAGGTTATTAGATGCGACCGTGATTTTGTATCTTATGCGAAAAAAACAATTTTGCAGTCGCAGATTTGACATATTCCTTTGCAATAATCCACGTATTTTTCAAAAAATTAACTCTAGTTAACAGACTACACTTTTGTAATCTCTATAACATTTTCCAGATGATAAAAGTTTTATATTCTAATAATATTAAAGACAAAGTACAATATCGGCCTATTTATCAAAATTAATTGGTGATAAAAATTAATAGATATTGCAGAGAATCACTGAATAAAAGATATGAAGATATTTGGTCGTTAAAAATTTTATTATCAATATATTCGTAAGCGCACTCTAATTTATCTACTATAGCGCATAATGTAAATAGAAACGCATCTGTGATCAAGATTAACCATGATAATAATAATAGCTCAAGATATTAATCATATTTATATTAATATAGTTATTGATTATGATTAATTATGATTAAACGTAAAACAAACGTGACTTTTGATTTTTAAAAGATTAAACATTGAATGATAATTAAACTTGCTCGTGCGGAAAAAAAAATCTCTTCATGATAGGCATCAACGTATAGAATATCATTTAATGCGTTTTGCATGAAAAAATATAGATTTGGATTAAGAAGCATGCAAATTCTTTCAAGTTATCGACGATGTAAAAATATTATTTATTAAAAAAGAGATATTACTTCGTGATACGTTATTTTAAGTGAATTTGATTTCAGCAGAGATTTAATTTAATGAACTAACTCAAGATCATCAAGATCGCAAGATAAAATCCAAGATAAAATCAAAAATATTACATTTATAAATATTTAATCTTTATTTATCATATCAAAAATGCGAAAAGAGTGAATTTATTATTACTTTTCGTTTAGTTTCTTTCAAGACACGAAAACGGAATATATATTCTTGCAGAGGGTTGACGAGGATGCACAGGATGCGTGAATGCAATCAATTCATCGCCACGGTAACGCCGTTTACGCTGTTTCCATAACTACAACTTACGTCGCGTCGTAATATACACTTTACCTCGCCGTCAAGTTGCTGAACAGAATCTGTCAACAATGGAGCCCCGGGATCTCGATGCGATTGGAATAATTGCGTTCAATGGTTTGTGCGAAGTGCAATGTTTTCAATGTGTTATCTCATACATCGTTCAGATAACAAAATGAAACTTGGAGATCCTGCACGATTTGGAAACTCGAAATATCACAGATATTATCTGATTAAAAATTGTTTGATCGAGCAAGATCGATTGAAGCGATTTTCGGCAATGTTCCTAACAATCTGAGTGTACAAAATAGTTTTTATAAATCTCGCAATTATTTACTGTATCATCATTTTACTGCATTTCGTCTAAACTCGATTATCCGCTCACTTCAAGGTATAATAAAGAACGCTCTGCGATTGCATCCGGATGGAAAGCATCTGCTGTATCCGATGGGCCGTAAGGTGGTCATAAGAAACATCGAAACCAGCGAGCAACGATTCCTCAATGGCCACACGAACAACGTCTCGGCATTGTGCGTCTCTCCGTGCGGCGAATACGTCGCTTCTGGTCAAAATAATCATCTGGGTTTCAAGGTGCGCACGCTCTTATCATTATCGTTATTGTGTAAGCGACACTCAATTGCATTATATTCAATTTCGTTGATCGCTATGCATGCTGCGCATTGTCGCAGGCGATGGTGATTGTGTGGGATTACAAGGAGAGCGCGATGAGAGGCAGCTACGAGACGCACAAAGTCAGCGTCGCGGATCTCTGCTTCACATGCAACAGCGACTTCCTCGTCAGCCTCGGCGGCAGGGACGACGGTAACGTGATCGTCTGGGATGTGCGGAACAATTCTCCGATTTGCGGTAATCTCCCTGCGGCGTTTCATTTCTTCTCACAGCACAGATTATCTGCGCGAAAATCCGAGTCGAAAATGTATATTCGAGAAACGAAAAAAAAAAAATATTCAACGATTTTTCGCAAATTTATGCGAGAATTGCACGCGTTCAATGTGGAATAATTCTTCAGGATCGTACGCCAGCAACGATACGAGCGGCAACGCGTACGAGATCGCGAGGATGCACGTTCACGGCGAGCGTTTCATCACCGCGGGCGACCGAACGCTGAAGATCTGGCGCGTCGACGCGAGCAAGCGGAAGGTGCACGGTGTCGACGTGGAAGTCGGCAAACTGAAGCGTTTCATCAACTGCATCGTCGTGGACGAAAGGGACGAGATCGTCTACTGCGGCACTTCTTCCGGCGATGTCATTAAAGCAAGGTCGCATAGAAGTGTTTGAAAAAAAAAATATATATATTTCATAATATGCGCTTATCTGCCTGCTCTATTACTAATGCTTTTTTCATAATTGATTTATTATCTCCCTTTATCTTCTAGCGTTATCTTTCGCTGTTTACATTTTCCTTGTTGTTCAGTTACACTTTTTTCTCCTAGATTGAATCTGCCGGATGAATTACAACGCGGCGAATCGACACGTCCGCCGGTGATGATCGGCTGCTACTCGAAAATGACGCGCGATCTGAGAAAAATGAAGGCGGGCGAAGGCGATCTGTATGCAGGCGGGGTGAAGTGCCTGCTGCTTCTAAAGGACGGGAAACTAATGCTCGGTGCTGGCGACGGTGCCGTCGAATTGATCGAGATAATAAACAAAACGACCAGTCGGACGCAAAAGCTATCGAAGCTCCCAAATACGCCACAAATATTTACTGTAAATAATTTTTATCTTTTTGTAGTGTAACAATAAGATAAAAAAGAAGAAATAGAAAAGGCTTGATAATCGACAAAAGCAAAAAAAAAAATAAAACTGTTTTATAAAATGTAAAACTAAGTAGATATAAAAAGGATGGCAAAAAGTAGTGATTTTATATATAAATAATTCTGAGAAAATGGTTGTAATTTTTTAACAGCATCGAGCGGAAAACGTGTGTAGCACCGTGACGTCCATAGTTCTGTATCTGAACGACTTTGTGCTGGTGGGAACAACGTGGTGCGAGATCTATCAGATTCAACTGTCGAATTTTCACATGCGTCTGCTCATCACCTCGCACACGAGCTGCATATACAGCATCGCGTTTCCGCGGTAAGAATCTTGGACGTGTGCTGGCTGAGATAGATATATTTAGTTACCAAAATCTTTTGTTGCAGTGATGATTCTGAGATATTTGCAACGGGCGGCAAAAACGACGTCAGACTGTGGCAACTGAAGACGCACAAGGAAGCGCTTCGCATCACCGTGCCAAATTTCGTTTGCTCCAGCTTGCATTTCGCGCGTGGCAATCAAATGCTGTTTTCTGGTACTTTCATCGACACGTCTGCATTTATAATCCAGAGATTAGCTGCAATTTTAACGCATATACGATTTTATTCGCCAAAAAGATCTTCATAACGCACGCGTTTCAGAGCAGTTTGCACGGTTTGCGATTTGCGCGCACAAAATGTCGCCGTGTCCAAACATTGGTAAAGTTTTTATTTTTTATTGCAGCTTGGAACGACGGCACGATAAGGGCATTCGCGCCGCACAACGGACAACTTTATTTCGCCATTCACAACGCCCATACGAAAGCTGTGTCGACGGTCGCGGTTGCGAGCGACGCCGCGACGCTCATTAGCGGCGGCTGCGACGGCCAGGTGATTTATCACGCTTTCTACAGGAAGCCATTTAACGCCGATCAGTGTCGCAAGCTTTGATAATTTATATCGAATATATTTTCTACACGATTACTTTTTCGAAATTAAATTGTTTAAGAAAATATCTGCATTAAACGCTAATTGTATCGATAAATTAAATCAATCATCCGTTTTAAAATAAGACTTTTGACACTTTACGAGAATATTGTTCACTTCTATATGTTTAATACATGCATTCGATTTTCAGGTACGTGTATGGGAAATAAAAGACGACGTACAACGATTGATTAGTGTACTGAAGGAACATCGGGGTCCAATAACATCTTTGCACATATCGCACAACAATGAGGACTTGATCAGTTCGAGTACAGATGGTACATGCGTCGTTTGGGACATAATGTAAGTGTCTTCTATAAATTATTAGATTAATGAAAGCGTCTTATCGTATTTGCTAGATAAAATTTTAAATGCTTTACGCAGTTGCAAATTTAATTTGCATTCATCAGAATATATTACCTCTCATAGCTGGCAGGACCAAATCAGCAGAATCGAATGCGACTTATCGGAAAATTTAGTACTCATTTTGTACTATTTTGTACCACAAAAAATAATTTTGTACCCCGTGCCATTTAAGAAAAAATCGTGGCGCTGCCAACTTCATATTAAGCTAGCAAAACCAAAAAAAAAAATATATATATATATAAATAAAAAATACAACGTATACAGTTAGCGCTGAATTTGTACTAATTTGTACCACCCAAAAAAAGTCAAAATATTTCCATTAACCCCTTAAAACAACCCTTATTTCGTCTATCCTAGAAAATAGGACATTTCTCTTCCGATCTTTTAAGAATTTAACCAGCACAATTGAACTAAATTTATCTTATTACTTACCACTTGTCATGTACTATTTTGTACCACCAGAAAGAATTTTGTACCCCGTGTTATTTGAAAAAAATCATGGTCCTGCCAACATGATGTGGAACTAACCGAATAAAAATTATTAAAAAATAACAAATAACGATAGATTCTATTAGTACTGAATTTGTACTAATTTGTACCACCCAAAAAAACTCAAAATATTTTCATCAACCCCTAAAACAACCCTTATTTCGTCTATTCTAGAAAATAGGACATTTCTCTTCCGATCTTTTAAGAATTTAACTAGCAAAATTAAACTAAATTTATCTTATTACTTACCACTTGTTATGTACTATTTTGTACCACCAGAAAGAATTTTGTACCCCGTGTTATTTAAAAAAAATCATGGTTCTGCCAACATGATGTGGAACTAACCGAAT